AGCAATTGTTGCATAATATTACCCAGATGTTTCAGAGCCTCAACACGGTAAAATCAAATATCTTCGAATTCATATTCTTCCTCTTCTTCAACAAAATGAGTGACACCCACCACGTGATTTTAGCAATCCCATAGCATAGTATGATTTAAAAAGCTAACACAGCAGCTGTTCATTAATCACACAACACACAGTTAATTGTGCAAAGAACACGTATGCCCTGTTTGTTGCACTAGTAAAACATATATATGCAGAATGGACTGAATTTACAAATGGTGGGCTCATAAATTTCTCCCTCAAAATATGTACTTTCACCCATCATGTTTCCAAGTATCAGATTTGCATTAGAGATGGGCAGAAAACAAAACTCCAGGTATGAAGAAATCCTCCCGCTCTGCAACCCAAAATGTGAGGCGTTAGAACTCAGTCCTGGATCCAGCACCTAATTTTGCAAACGTGTTCTAGGACAGATCTTCAGCTGGTGTAAATTAGAGTAGCCCTGTTGACTTCAATGCAGCTGCACCAATTTACACCAGCTGAAGATTTGGCCGTCCATCTTTATAGTGCCCCAAAGCAATTCCCCTGACTTTTGATCCACATGTTGCAGTTTGAGTCTATCTCAATAGTGCAATTATTTGCCCTGGCAATTGTGTAGCACCTACATCTCTGTTGGCATACTTGATGTGGAACATAGGTACATACTGTGTATATGCACAACCAACACACTTCTCTTTCAGCCCCTTTCAACATCTCTGTTGTAGATGTCGATACCTTTTTGAAACGGAAGGCTACAGATACAGGGCTCAATACTCATTGAAGTCACTGGCAAAGCGTCCATTGATTTGAATGGTGCAGGTTCAGGGCCATGTGGTTTATTCCATGTTTCACATCTGACTTTTAACATAAAGTTTTAGGGCCTGATTCGAAGCCCATTAAAAGTAAAAGGAAAAACTTTGTATGAATTCAGTGGGATTTGGATCAGACCCTTAGTCTTTTGATATTAAAGATATTGGGGCCACATATATTCTGACACTAAGATGTTGCCACTCCTACTGGAGGCTTACATTGATTCTGCTACTGCCCCCAAACACCAGAGAATAGAAAAGTGACCATCTTGCCATCACTAGGCTTCCCCAGAATCTGGTGATCCTCAGATCTGGGGATTTGGTTTTGGTTTCTCTCTTCCAAGAGGAGTTTATTGATTTCTTCACTTTCTGGAACAGACTCTGAAAGGACACCACACAGAGACATCCCTGTTAGATGTGTTTTCACACATATCCACCCTGTCATTAAAACAACAAAAATCCCCCCCCACACACACACACACATTTGGCCCTAAGCTAGCCTTAGCTTTTAAATTAGGTTGGAAAAAGCTCAAAGGGCAACAGCTGTAAAACCACTGTGAAGCAAAATACAAATAAACCGAAATACAATAAAGCCGAAATTAAATCAGCTCTTCACGTAACTCTGGCAGATACACACATGCACACGCTAATGGCCAGGCAAGCTTGGTGGGGCACTGACCTGCATATCACTCAAGGCTCAAAATGACAACATTCTCCTAGGAAGAAAGGAAAGAAAGGGAGCCAGCTTCCTGCATCAAGTGAAACAATAATCCTGAGCTGCAAGAAAAAGCTACCAAGTCTTCAGATGGTGAATTATTTATCCACTGACATGGAACAATACACACACTGTAGTCAATGTGCAAGATTCCCAATATGTGTTGCATTAGAAAGCAAAGAGACTTAGTTATATAATTATTCATTTTTCATTGGGGGGAACACCAACGCCCTCCCTAATCTGCTTTAAAACCTGTTATTACCCACAAGGGACTCTAAATGTCTCCAGGCAGCTCTTTTGTAGGTGATCGGTTATTACAGTATTAAAACTGAATGATGGTGCTGGTGAAAGGTGCCCAATTCAAGCCCTGGAATCTTTTCAGAAACCACAGAACAGGTCTAGCACTGGCTATATCTAGGCATGTCTCCCCGGAAAACCTCCTGCAGATGGGCTCCTGTTCCTTTTTTCGTTTCTTCCCATGTCCATTTCTATAGGTCTATATAAAGTATAAGCTCTTAGGGGTAGGGGTCCTGTCTTCAAATCAGTCTGTATAGCAGCTTTCATAGGGGTGCTAGGTGAATAATAATAATGTGTCTCGTTGCCAGTGCAGAGGGACCCACCTTCTGAAGGTCAGTTTTCCTGCCCTGATGAGTGATGGGCTTCAGTGCTGAGATCACGAACAAGGGTGCCTGTTAATGTCACACACAACTGTGGTTTCCATGATGTGGACTCCTGTCCACTAGGAACTGGACTGAGATGAACAATCTCAATTCACAGAGGAGTCACTGAGCTGCTGTCAGATTGTAACCACTTCCTACTGACCTGGTCTGGATTGGCAACAGTTACCCAGAGGAGAAAAACTTTGTATCTTGTTACCAAACCTCTGAGCTAGCTCTTAATTATTTTAATCTTTAATTAGAGGTAGGTTACTCAGTTAACCAGTAGAGACACTGCCAGCCTGAGAATAACAAACATGAATGCCTCTGCAGATAGAGAAACCGAGAACCTAAAATGCCACCTTTTTAGAAGGGACCCAGTGAGCTGGCATTGAGGGGGTGTGTGGCATTGCCAGGCAATGGGACATAAAATAACACAGCATCACATGATGTGTTGATCTCAGTCTTCTTCTTCTGGCAAATGTTTAGCACCTGCTTTACCTGCTTCACGACCCATTACTCACTCCAGGCAGCCCCTTCATAGGTGACTGGTTATTTACACAATATTAAAACTGACTGGTGAGGCTGGTGAAAGGTGCCCAATCTTCTTTGAAAACTCAGAACCGGTCCAGTTTCCTCTTGGTGGGTCTCAGTCCAATTCCAAGCGGACTCGTGTCCTCATCACAAAACCCACCAAAACAGTTAATTCTAATTGACTCTTTGCTGGCAGTCCCAGTAGAGAGGCCAAGGGCTGAACAGAGTGAATTCCTCTTTTAGGCCTACAGACAGTCCATACAGGTCATGGTTGAGGCACATTGCATTGCCGCTGCCTGTTCTGTGGATCAGTAGAGAAGTTCAGACTCCAACTCACTCCTTCTAGCACCTTTCATCAGCGTTCAGTTCACAAACATTCTATTTTTTAAATGACGGGGATGCAACATTACAGAAAGCTGTATCCTGAGACCATATCTAGGGTATTCAAAGGGAAGGCTGGAATTCTGCCTTGTTTTACCCACATATATCAGTGCACAGGCTACTTCGTACAAGATACGATCTCGTCAGCACCTGGGTGTTATGGAGTTTGGTATAAATCCCAAAGATCTAAGAGACTCCCATGATAATCAGACACAGTGGGGAACGTTAGAGACGCAACAACAGTGACATGGATTTTTCACAAAGTTTGCCATGAACCTAATTCACTCTCAGACTGAGGATCTATGCAGTCAGTTTGCATGCAGCCATTCTGTGCGAGGCACAAATATATCTGAACCGAAACACCACAGACAAGATACTGAAAATAAATCACCCATTGTTCACCTGAGGAAGCCATTGTCAGCTTTTGTTGTGCCGGTCCACCCTAGTAAAAATACAGTGGATGGGTGCAAATGAAATGGGTTTTTCAGCTGATTGTGGAGAAGACACCATGAACATTACTTGGACTTCAATGTGGAGGGCAGAGTAAACCTCATTGGGTTTAATGACACATGAGACTAGCTTCAGGGCATGGCTACACTTGCAGATGTAGAGCACTTTGAGTTAAACCAGCCTTCGTAGAGCGCAGTAGGGAAAGCGCTGCAGTCTGTCCACACTGACAGCTTCAGGTGCACTGACGTGGCCACATTTGAGGCACTTGCAGCGGCATTGGGAGTGGTGCATTATGGGTAGCTATCCCAGCATGCAAGTGACTGCAACCTGCTTTTCAAATGGGGGGTGGAGTGTGACAGGGAGTGTGTTGTGTGTATGTGGGGGGAGAGAGAGTGGGTTTTGGGGGGGCTGAGAGCATGTCAGCATGCTGTCTTGTAAGTTCAGAAAGCAGCAGACCCCCCCCCCCCGCCCCGGCCTTTCTCTCTCACACACAGCATTCCACACTAATGGTTGCTTTGTCTCGGAGCAGATAAGCAGCCGGCTGTCAGAAACGGAGCTTTCAAAGGGCATATCCGCATTCCTGCAGCGATTCCAAAACAATGAGAAGAATGGCCACTTGACTTAAGGGGATTATGGGACATTTCCGGAGGCTGATCAGAGCACAGTAAAGCAACACCTCGTTCACACTGGCACTGCGGCGCTCCAGCGGGGGCGCAGCAAATGTTATTCCACTCGCCGAGGTGGAGTACCAGCCGCGCTGTAGCCGCGGAGTCAGGGCGCTCTACGTGCCTTGCCACGGCGGACGGGTAGTGAGCTAGTGCGCCCGGGGCTCCTTTATTGTGCTGTAACTCGCAAGTGTAGCCAAGCCCTCAGTTAGACTGAAAATTGACTCTGAAGTTGATTAAATCCACCCTCTGCACAAGTTCCCTAGCTTTACGCACTTGAGGCTGCTGTTGTTTTGCAGAAACTACTCTGAATTAAGGAAAGTACTGCTCCTGATAAAAGTATCATAAAACACATTTTTATCTAGTGATAGCAGTTCCAGAAACAAGCGAAACAACACACATGAAACTTTACACTCTCTTTACAATATATAATCAGCCAGATCAGCCAGTCAATGGTAAATAATGTAATAAAGGAACAGCCTGTGATAGCTCCTTTTAGGGCCTTTGCCTGCTTGGTTCCATAATCTGAACTGCATGGCAGCTCCCCTTTCCATTCTTCATTCCCTTTATTATCTTGGGGGTGGGGAGAGGGGAGATTGCCAAATTTGCTCTTTGCCTTCACTTTCCTTGCCCTTACACAATTTTGCTGCTAAGCACATTTCTGAACCATCTGATTACTGATGAAATACCTTGCTTAGATGACAGGCCACATTTCATATGCTCTCACTGCCGTATTATTGCAGGGACAGTTGTTTGCTGGCCTGGATGTAAGGCAGGGGCATGGGTCCTTGTGCATCTCAGCAATTTGAAAGCTTCAGACATGAGTTAGTGGTGACTGTCATGCTGGATAGGAATCCACATCTTCAGCCTGAACAAAACAGCATGTCCAACTCTGCCAGAACTGGATCCAAACAACCTGAACTTTGAGAATTCACATATGGATCTAGATCTGACCTTTGCACCTCTGATCCATGTGAGTTAAGAACTTACCTTCCTAGGAGGTTGGAATCAAATCACTGTAAAGCCATTTTGTGGAGAATTTTCTATGAGTTGCAGTTGTATCAACTTGCACCCACACTTTGCAGTTGCAAACATCTGCATTTGCATTAATACTTGCTTGTACCCTTTAAACTGCACGTACTGGGGTGGGGCTAAAGTGCGGGTGCAATGCAGAGATGTATGTGCACAGCTGTTAGACTATTTAAAGGGTGCTCACAAGGGTTGGAATTTTTAACAGGGTTTTCTATCTGCAAAGAGCAGGTGTAAGTAAGTGTGTGCGCAATTTGGCGCATAGTCCAGTGGAGTAGAGGCTGGATAGAGGTTCAACTGACAATTTACATTGCAGTGGTCATGGTGAGTTCTATGATTTCATTGCATCCTTTTGTAGGCACGGCCTACAGGCATTGCGTCTCCATACAGAGGACAAGATGCTTGGTCAGTGCCTGAGGGCTGGACTGTAGTGTCTGAGAAGTGAGTCCTCCCTAGATGAGGGGTTAGGGAGAATGAAAAGAAGGAAAGGGCTGTCTCATGTGGCATAACTGCTGAAGTTTAGGAAACTGTAAGGAGATTAACTTGCTGGCTATTCTCCGGTGTGCCACATGCATTTAAATTTTGGTTAAATGGTTGATAAAATGAAACAGTTTGATGCACGCTATGAGTCTAATGTTACTAACTGTACAGGTGCAATTGTCTGCACAAAACTATGCATGAAATTGTATGCTTAATTTGTGCACATAGTTGTCTTGTTTACACAGAGCTGGAACTAGAATGCTGCTGTCATCACAACCACTCCAGTTCCTTCCACAGCCAACTCCTAACCAGCCAGAGGGCCTAGAGAACATAGGAACAGAAGACCAGCCATACTGGGTCAGACCAAAGGTCCATCTAGCCCAGTAGCCTATCTTCCGACAGTGGCCACTGCCAGGTGCCCCAGAAGGAATGAACAGAACAGGTAATCATCAAGTGATCCGTCCCCTGTTGCCCATTCCCAGCTTCTGGCAAATAGAGGCTAGGGACACCATCACTGCCCATCCTGGCTAATAGCCATTGAGGGACCTATCCTCCATAAATGTATCTAGTTCTTTTCTGAACCCTGTTATAGTCTTGGCCTTCACAACATCCTCTGGCAAAGAGTTCCACAGGTTGACTGTGTGTTGTGTGAAGAAATACTTCCTTTTGTTTGTTTTAAATCTGCTGCCTATTCATTTCATTTGGTGACCCCTAGTTCTTGTGTTATGAGAAGGAAAGGAAAGTTTTTTCTCATTGTATTAGATTCCTTTTCCCTGTCACTTATCGATTATATAATCTTACTACATTATTGACTTCTTTGCTTTCAGCTTCCTCTGCACAAATTAACAGCTCTGCAAATTGACTGTCACACCTTGGGCTCAAGTTAGTTCCTGTGCCTGGTTCTTCCATGTAGAAATGCCACCTATTGCATCACCATCACAGCCTGCGTTTACCAGTACGCCTCTAATCCATGAGTGCTTGCATAATGCAGGAGGCCAAATTTATCCCTGGTGTAACTCCATTGACTTCAGAATGGATTTGGCGCCAGGAGCTGAGTTTCCGTAGCAGTGCCATCCATCTGGAGATCTTGGCCATCAGGCCTCATTGTGCTTGGAGCACAGCTATTGCTTTCTTAAGCAGAGAGTTGGATGCCCGATTCCAAATAAAAATGAATGGGAATCAATGTGTCCAAATCCCTTATCTTTGAAAATCTCAGCCATAGGCTCTTGACAGTGCACACTGATAGCTACTTAGTTTCTTCAAGCGATGCATTGTCCTGGAACTGTTGCCATGGTTCACTGAACTGGAACGTTGACCCTCTGTAGCTTTCGTATTTGGACCTTATATCTGCTTAGCCAGTCTTTCACTTTAACCAGTGCATTCATGTGGCACACTTTTAATCCCTCACTGCCTCTGAAGAACAGTAATTTTAGCTGAAATCCTGGCCTCGTTGAAGTCAATGGTTGTTTTGCCATTGACTTAAATGAGGCTAGCATTTCACCTTCTGTCCCAATGAGAGCACTGAGCCTTCTCATGGAAGAAGTGCTTGCATGTATTACGTGCAAGGTAAAAAGGAGATGAGCTGGGCAGCCTGATCCTGCATTAAGGAAAGTCCCATTGCACAGCTACCGAGTAGGAGCCAAAGAGGGGAGCATGTAGCTAAGCATCTAATAAACACATTCATTCTCCTTAGACCCAACCATTCTATGCCCATGACATACTGGGGGCTTTTTGCAAGAAAGGTGGAAGGAAACACGACAGAATAGGAGCAGACTCCAGCTCCAAACTGGCACTTGAGGGTCTTGGTTGGTTGCTCTTGCATTCTCATCTGTGCTTTTGGTCAAACAAGGCAAAGGGAATAGAACAGCTAAGGGCAAAAGGGCAGAAGGGAAAAATCATCCATAAAAGAAACTGAATGTTGAAAATAATGCAAACAATTCTCTAGTGTGAGCGTGAGTGTTTGTCTTGGCCACAGATCTAACCTAACAACTCTCTCTCACTATGTTGCCTTTTCTTTCTCTTTTTTTGACAAAGCTTTGTGCCATATAGGATGGTTCCTCAGGCTGGAGGAAGTAGTGGAGGAGTGCGCTACATCCATATCAATAAACAGAGGTGATCTTGGATTAGCAATGACTAAGGCAGGACATTCTAACAATCTGCAAATATCTGAAGTCTGTAAATATCAGAGAGAGAGAAAGTGGATTTACTTAGGGTGTTACAAGTGGAATAATTAAGAGTAATAGGTAAGACTAACCAATGGAAAATTTAGGCTTAAATATCAGGAAGTTTCCTAACAGTGATTTCTATTAGACTGTAGAATTTTCCCATAAGGGAAGTGGTGGAAACAGGAAACCTCATATTTTGAGACATTTTTCAAATTAGATTGGATCAAGGTACTGAAGAATAGACTCTTGCAAAGAGAGATTAAGTAGATAATCTAATAGCCTTTTTTTTTGTCTCTAAAGTATCTTATTCTATAAACCACACAATGCATGGCAGACAAATCAGTTATATTAAAAATGGATTAAACACAATCACAGATCTTTTTAAATGGTTTGTGATCTTAAGCATTCAGTTTGTCTGAAAGAATTAAAGTTTCTAGCCCATATATTGCTGTAAACTAGTTTCATGGAGTATACTTAATAGGCATAAAGCCATTTAAAAGGGACTTCTCTGGGTCCTTGTGCTGGATAATAGGAATGGATGTGAACTGATATGTTTAATTTCTGTGTGAGCATGAGAAGGAATAAAAAAGCAAATGCAATTTTTAAAGGTCCCGAAAGGACAAAGGCCATGAAATTGTTCTTTATATTAACTTTTAAAAATGTATTTGTGTAGCCATTTGTTTGATGTAGTAGAGGACAACTACATTTGTGTTTTAATTATACAAACGGATACAGTAACAGAGCAATTAGAACCTGATCCAAAGCCCCTTAGGTCAAGCGGAATATTTCCATCTGAATCCAATGGGCTTTGGATCAGGCCCTCTAAGAACCAAGTCCCAGAGCCTGATCTTGCAACACTTCCTCACATGACTAATCCTTAACCCACATGCAAAGCATGGTTGAAGACAATGGAACTACTCTGAAGAGTAAGGATTGCTCACATCTCTGGATCAGTTTTCATTCAGTTTGTACCCGGGCAAAACTCCAATTGACTTCAGTGGAAGTTTTGCTGGAAAAGGACCTCAGGCTTTGGTCAAATAGATTGTAGCCTCATTGATTTCATTTTTCAGAGTAGCAGCCGTGTTAGTCTGTATTCGCAAAAAGAAAAGGAGGACTTGTGGCACCTTAGAGACTAACCAATTTATTTGAGCATAAGCTTTCGTGAGCTACAGCTCACTTCATTGGATGCATCCACAGCATTTCATTGGAGCTACTCCTCTTAACAGAGGTGGGAGAGGAGATTCAGACCTTACAAATCTGTGCACAATTCATTTGGACTATTTGGAGGTGAGAGGGTAGACGTTTCCCTTAATAATTCCTGAGGAGTTTGCTATACATTGTTATTAGGGCTGGCCTTATCACCCAAGGAGGGAAACATTTTCAGTGCCTGCCCTGCCCTTCTCCCCCACAAAAGGTGCAAGCAAAACAACAAATAAATGGAGGAACACATGGGGATTTGTTGCCCCTGAACGTTGGCTCTGAGGGTGGCAATCCTGATCATCTGACCCTGGTTTTTGTTATAAATTATTATTTGTATAAAACTAGTGCCACAAATGGGTGAGGCATTCTACAAGTAAATTGGAAAGCAAAGTCCCTGCCCCAAAGAGCTTACAATCTAAACAACAAATTCTCTTATTAGGGATCTATCTATCTAATCTATCTATTGTGTTTATAGGCCACAAATCACCATCATGTCTAGGCACAACTAGAACCAGATTTTACACCACTGAGCTATTGAAGCCCATTGGATTTTGCCGTAGGTACTGGAGCTGGGAGTGCGGCAGCACCCCCTGACTTGAAGTGGTTTCCATTATATCCAGGGTTCAATGGCTCTCAGCACCCCCACTATACAAACTGTTTCAGCAACACTGGATTTTGCTACTGATTTCAATGAAATTAGGTTCAAGCCTCTAATATCTAGGTTTCTCAGTCCATGCAGGTGTCCCTATTCACTAAATTCTACTGTACCTGTTTTTTAAAGAGAGTTTGCAAGAAAGAAATGTTGCTCCAGAATTTCAGCCGGGGTAAATGGGCATAGCTCCAGTGGAGTGGAGTTGGACTTTGATAGAATGCCACCAATTTTTCCAGCTGAGGATCCTGCCTCTTAAAAATAAAGCAGTCTTTCCTCCTTTCAAGGTAGTGATAGATCAAGGCATAAAAAATGCCCACCCTTTTTTTTTTTTTTTTTTGCTGCCCATTCCGTTTTCTGTTTGGAAACGTTTCTTTCCATGACTGTGTTTAAGCAATCAGAGATATTACCTTAGTCCTAGATGATGAATCTAATAAAGAGTGATGACCTGATGTTATAAAATACTCCCAAGAAAACAAATTTCTTATCCAAAATGGAAAAAAAAATTAGTTCAGATTGTAAGGATAGGTAATTAAAAACCTCCAGAAGCCGAACTCAGCCCTGTTGTAACATTGTGAATCATGGACTGTGCTGGAACAATGAGCTCCTATGATCAAGCACTGCTGAGGAGGAATCACATAAAGGAAACAAAGTTTACAGTTTATCATAAACAGCCATGGAGTTCACCTCTCCCTCCTGGGTCAGATTCTGGTTTTTTGCATCACTGTAAATCTAGAATAACATCATTGACTTTCGAGCAGAATCTGGCCCTCTGTCTCTGGGTCCTACCATGCATGTAAGAGCTCAGGACCATGCAAGATTGGGCCCTATCTCTTTCTCTCTTTGTTTAAAACCACTGAGGACTGTGTGTAGGACTAGTGGTGACACGTGGAAATTTACGTATGAGGCATTGCTCTACTGATTAAACATGTGGAAAACAAGCTGATCCGAATTCTGTCCTCCATGCCACCCCACCAATAAGTGAAGACATGGTCTGGCCCTCTCTGACTCTTTGCCAAAGGAAAGGGGGAGGACTTCATCAAAGAGCCACACATTCCTCATCACCTTTAACTGGGGTTCTATAAAAGGAAGACAAGAAATAGGTCTGGCAGTGAGATGGTGGACAAGGTCTCTTCCCATAGCTCTCCGACTTAGCAAATTAGCCAGCTGGTTTTTTTACTTCATAGTTAACTCCAGCCAGGAGCAAAATGTTGGTCATGGCCCCTAACTGCAAATCATCACAAACAGAGATCCTATGAGCATTCAGAACAAAGGAAATAGGTCACTGTTACATAGGGAAAATTTGTGGTCTCTTAGAACAAGGGCCTGGGAATCAGGACTCCTGGGTTAGAATAATAGAAATTAAGGGCTGGAAGGGGACCTTGAGAAATCATCAAGTCAAGCCTCCTGCACTGAGGCAGGACAAAGTAAATCTACACCATCCCTGACAGGTGTTTGTCCAGCCTGTTCTTAAAAACCTCCATAATAGGGATTCCACAACCTCCCTTGGAAGCAATTCCAGAGTTTAATTACCCTTATAATTAGAGTTTTTCCTAATATCTAACCTAAATCTCCTTTCCTGCAGATAAAGCTCATTACTTCTTGTCCTACCTACCCTCCTACCTCAAAATGGAACTTTACTTGAGTTTAGGACTTCATGATTTCTCCCATGGTTAACCTACTTGCCATGCAGATTCCCACAGAAATCTTTCTAATGGCCTCTGATCAATTTTTAAAAATCACCATGTCTTCTCTTTTGTTAGATATTATTCATAGCATTTCAACTTTCCCAACAGTGCCTTTTTGGTTTTTGTTAGTCTATATTTTAGGCAGGAACTTTAGAGGCCTAAGCAGCTTTATTGGAACTTTCCTTTGACTATTGAGCAATTAGATGACAGAACGTTACTCAGGGGAAGCCAGTAAACTGCATAATACTTCTGTCTTTGCGAAATATTACACACAAATGCGTGCCTGCAATTTGGTGCTATCTTCCCTTTCTCTTTCTAGTCAGAGCCCCTGAGGGCATTGAGCAATGCTCCTGATTTATTATCTATGTTGAACATGTAATCAGCTGAACTGGCCAACTCCACATACAAAGATATTGGGTCAGATTTCCAAAGCTAAGAATTCAATTGCATATGAATATTTGCATGCAATGAACTTATGCATGCAAATATTGTGTGTGTGTGTGTGTGTGTGTGTGTGTGTATACAAATCAGGTTTTTGTGTGTGCACACAGCCAGTTGGACAATAAATGGTCTGTGTTTTTGTGCAAATACCTGATTTATATTTGCAATCGTACACTGCGGGCATGTGGGTCCCTAACTTTGAAAATTTGGCCCTCTCATCTCCTTCAGTTCATTCCTATCTAGAGCTGGGTGAAATTTTTCAGCTGAAACTTTTTTTCACTGAAAAATGCAGATTCAGGTCAACTGTAATTTTTGTGAATTTGTGACAATAATGGCTAATTGTTTCAGCTAAAATGAAAAAAGAAAAAAATCAGAAATGTTAATACAAACCACTTGACATTTCCTGAATGGTTGAATTCACAAGGGGATTTAGGAGCCATTCACAAAATTAGAAGGGCTGTAGTACCAGTACCCAGTACCACTCACTCAGTACCCATACCACTCACTGGTTCCCAGAACCACTCACTCATGCCCAGTACCACTCACTCGGATTCAAATCCCCATTCCAAAAGCTGGGTTTCCCACATCCCAGGTGAGTACTCTAACCCTCCGATTATTATGTGTTGTGAAGTGAGTCTCCCTCAATCTCTCCTGTTCAAGCTGTTCTAATTCGCATAAATTATTAAATATTCTTTGGAGCAGGGATTGAAATCCAGGTCTTCTCCCACGCAGGTGTGTACTCGAACCACCAGATTACAGTCATTATCTCTCTCTTTGCTTCAATGACTATTCAGGTCTATTCCTATCCCCCTGCCCTAGCATTCCACTTTGCCTGAGAAGAATCTGCTAAGAGAGCTTTAGTTGAGCAAAGGGTATTTCCTCCCTAAAACCTTCGAGTGTTTTTCTTAATGCTTCAGAAAATAAGTGAATTCTGTAAATTCATTATCCAGTAGGGTCATTTGGCTTCCTTCACGTGAGATCACAAGGCTCTGTACCTTTGTCGGGGTAAGTAGTATGTATTCCAAACAGAGGTCAAACAGGCTCAGATAGAACTACACGGAGAAAGATTTTACAAGTGAAAAGTTCGTGCTGCCATTCAGAGAAGTTCATTTCACAATCCTATAATGGCTTGGTTTGTACGTCCTACTGCATCTTTGGGCCTTTGCTGGCTCCATGACAGTGATGCATGAACAATATGTTACTAATCAAAACTACCTGGCAAGGCTACCCAAAAAGAATACAGCTAGGAATAAATAAATATATGTAGCAAGGGAAATGATGGCAGCAGCCAGATTTCAAATAAACTAATCTCAGTTTAAATGAAGCTTTGATGAGCAAAGATTGAATGATGAGCTGGATATCATATGGTATAAATAATGAAAACATCCATAGTTATATTGGCTAGGATAAAAAAAATCAAAAGAAAGAGTAACCCTCATGCATCAATTAAC